GCCGATTGCGGGTGGGGGAATTCTGGGAGTTGAAGTCCAGACATCTTCAAGTTGCCAAGGTTGAGAAACACTGGTCTAGGGGGATTCTCAGCCCTCCAGGTCAACGGCTGCCCCAATGGTGCTTTTATTTTCAACTGGACTTTCTTGTTCTTTCTTCTGAAGACGCTTCGCTTCTCATCCGAGAAGCTTCTTCAGCTCTGACGGGATGGTGGGGAAGCGAAGGATTCATTCTCCTTGCAGACAGAAATCCTTTCCAAGAGAAAGACCCCAAGAGGTGTACCCCAGGGAGCTCCTTGCTAGATTTCCCTGATCTAAGGAGGAGGGCTCGCTCGGATGTAACGCCTCCGTCCTTCTTACCTGAAGTGAACATTTTCCCAGCTCCCGAGATCACCACTGCATGGCATTCAGAATCCTGGGCAATCTTGTTGAAGCACTCCACCATCTCTCTATGACAAGAGGAGACCACGTCGGGCTGAGAACCTTGGAGGTAGACGGCTGGCTTAGATTTTTCACAAATACAGACTTATGGCCGCAACATTTCTGTTGCCGAGTGAGAAATCTGTTAGGAGAGTTTTTGCCCCGTCGTACGGCGTTCGTGAAGCGAATTGCCACGCTTGTAAAATTAGTAATGGCAGCTACTGAGGATTTAATAGCTGCCAGCTGATGTAAGGTTATAAGCTGTAAACCGGAAGCTGATGCAATGAGGATGATTCAGCAATATAGGTATCACCAGTTTAAGGCTCTGATGGGGTCCACACAAGACATTTCCCTTTTAAGAGGCGTCTATATATAAGTGGCCATTAGAGGGCGTTTCTTTCTCATCGTGTATCTCATTTCTCTCCTTGTATCCGTAGCTGAGTGATAAGGGATTTTTCTACCATATGTATATCTGTATATATGTACTGTATATATAAACCACTATTAATTGTCTAAAAGCTCTGTGTGCTGTGTTGTGCTCCTGGGCTTATCTCATATAATAGTCAGGCTGCCAAAACTCTGACATTGTTGTTAAGTGAATCTGGCCTCCCTGTTGACTTTGAAGGTCGCAAAAAGGGGATCACGTGACCCCGGGGACACGGCGACCGTCATAAATATGAACCAACGGTGAAGCATCCGAATGTCAATCACCATGGGAATGATACTGCATGGTCGTAAGGGTGAAAAACAGCCATAAATCACTTTTTTCACTGCCTCTGTAAGTTCGAACGGTCACTAGGTGAATTGTTTTAAATCGAGGACTACCTGGACTTGAAACAGTGTAGTGACCAAAGGCGTTTATCTGGGACACTGAAGGCCCAGGACCAATGGGGCAGAGCAATCGTGCCTTAGTCTTCCCCGATTAATCCTCATTAAAAAAAAAGAAGTACCACCACAGGTAGTCCTCACTGAGTACAGTTCATTTAGTGACCAAAGTTACAACGGCACTGAAAAAAGGGACTTATGAGCATTTTTCACACTTACGACCATCGCAGCACCCGCGTGGTCACATGATTTACATTCGGATGCTTGACTGATTCATATGACTGATTCCTATTTATGACGGTGGCAGCGTCCCGGGGTCATGTGATCAATCTTTGCGACCTTCTGACAAGCACAGTCAACGGGTAAGCCGGATTCACTTAATGACCGGGTCACTAACTTAACAACCCGCAGGGATTCCCTGAACCCCTGCGGCAAGCAAAGTCACCAAATGGGATCAACCTCACGTCACCCATTTCTCGCTTAGCAACATAAAATTCTGGGCTCCATTGCGGTCGTACGTCGAGGACCACCTGTGCCTCATTTTCGGTTTGGCTACTCCGTGCACGATAAGGATGGCGGGTTAAAAGCCAGGCCAGAGGCTTCTCCCGCCGTGCCTCCCTCCGTCCCGGGACTCCCGTCAGCGGCGCAACGAAATCCGATTTCCCGTTACCTCCAAAAGGCGACATTCATGGCGTTCCTTTTCTCCGGCCGGTTGAGCTCTACGTGCAGCACTTTCTCGCGGACTCGTTCCAACTTCAAGGTCTCGTAGGCGGGCAAGGAATTAGGCGGCGGCTGTTGCTGCTGCTGCTGCGGCGGCTTTGAGGCCATGATTCTGAAGCCGCGGCAGGAAGCAGGATGAACGGAGAGATCTGGGAAGATAGCAATAGCAATAGCAGTTAGGCTTATATACCGCTTC